ATCAAGCTGTCCCACTGAGATCAACATCTTCTTCAGGTCTGGAATATACCTCACATCTTTCAACCTCCAGGTTGTACCCAAAGTGGTACTGAGATCAACATCCCCAATACCCGTGATCTCCAGGGATTTGTCATCCGCCAAACGAACTCTTCCGTTGTAGGGCCTGAAATTTTTCATCAAATCCCTGCAATGACAAGCATGAAATGACGCACCTCAATCCATGATCCAGGACTCAATTGAATTCTCAACGCTGCAAATTAGAACATCTTCATAATCCTCTGCCACGTTCACCTCCTTCTTGCCTTTGTCTGCAGAGGCTTTTGGGCACTGATTTCTGAAGTGTCCATTCTCTTTGCAATTCCAACAATTGATGTCCTTCCTATTCTTGGATTGACCTCTCTTCCTCGACTTTGATCTTCCCTTCTTGTTACCCCCTCTAGTGGATTTTCTGCCCCTATCTTCAGTACTCAACAAACTGTTGGAGCTATCCCCCGAACTCCTCCTCCGTATATCCTCACCAAGGATTAAGTCACGAATACCTTCAAAGGTAAGCTTAGTGGTTCCAGATGAACTACTAACCGCTGTGACTGTACCGGACCAACTATCGAGCAAAGATGATAACAAAAGTAATGCTTGAACTTCATCATCGAATTTAATCTCAACCGAGCCTAACCTGGATATGATTGAATTAAACTCGTTGATGTGATCTGTCACAGATGCACCTTCCTTCATCCTTGTGTTCACCAACTGTCTGATTAAGAAAACCTTGTTGGCAGCTGAGGGTTTCTCGTACATATTGGATAACGCCTTGAGCAGTCCGAACGTTGTCTTCTCGTTGACGATGTTGTAAGCAACGTTTTTCGCCAACGACAACCTCACCACACCAAGAGCCTGTCGGTCCAACAAGTTCCATTCCGCCTCCGCCATCGTCTCTGGTTTGTTCTCAGACAAGGGTAGATGAAGCTTTTTCTGGTAGAGATAATCCTCGATCTGCATCTTCCAGAAAGCAAAATCTTGACCATCAAATTTATCGATCTTAACCTTCCCTTCGTCAGCCATAGCTCTGATACCAATTGTTATGATTAGGCAAAGATAAACGATAAATTAAGAGCAAGAACACAAGAATTAACGTGGTTCACACAATCAGGTTGATTGTGCTAGTCCACGGCGAACGAGAGAGAGGATGTATTATTATCAGCGTCGCTCAGGGTTTACAGATGCATAAGAGTCGTTTTTATAGGCTTAAGAAAACCTAAACAAAGATTAGAGCCGCAGGCCCAAAATTAAGCTCGTAATTAGGAAATTCCCGTCGACCCGGTTGGGTCTCTTATTTGACCCGGTCGGGTCTCTTCACAAAAGTCATACCCGGGCTTGAAACCAGGTCGAGTTTCCAAAACAGAAGCTCATCGATCATCTTACCCGGTCGGGTCCTTCACCTGACCCAGTCGGGTCTCACATTCCAGAGAGTCCCCAGGTCTCTGCTTCAACATACCCGGTCGGGTCCTTCATCTGACCCGGTCGGGTATCAGTTATGAAACTGTGAACAAGACTCCACTTTGGCTCATAAAGGTATTTTCTACTGCATAAAGTTCTAGTGGTAGCAGAAAATAAATTATAGAATTATAGAACCATTTTATCTTCTTTACTCGATATTTTCAACAGTTAACCCAAGAAATGTTTACCTTTTAATATGAATATACAACATAAAAAGATCCTAATTAATTACTAACTAACGACTTCCACATTTAAGAAGATACGATTGAAAAGTAAATTAAAAGAAACTGATTTGATGCAAACATACCTTTGGAAGATTGAGTTGCGATCAAGCTAGAAAACATCAACCACTATGGGGGTGGAGACCTGGAAGAGAAGAGAAGACATAACTTATTCAGCAACCTTGTGTTCTTGTAATTTTCATGTACAATAAAATAAGGATTCATCATTTATGAGCTTAACAGGCCCCTTAATTTTCTTCTCCTGACATTGTCTTTATTACATTGAGACTAAACATCAAATGCACGTTATTTAAATTTGGAACCACAAATGATTGTCTATACAAAGTTCTTTAATCTCAAGGACATGTTGAGATCCCCTTCGGTTAAACTGGTCATACAAATGACCTTGAGAATTATTCAGCTAAGCCAACAGCAGTACACGAAGTTTATATTAACCTCTTAGGCTTTGTTTGCAATCACTTCTGCTTAAATAAAAGCACTTTTAGGGAAAAAGTGATTAGTAGTAAAAGTTGGTAGTGTTTGGTAAAATAAATGTTTTTTGTGTAATAAAAAAAGTAAAAAGTAGATTCTACACGGAAGCCGAGAAAATAAAAGTTGGCAGTGTTTGGTAAAATAAGTGTTTTTTTTTCTTAAAAAAAAGTTAAAAACACTTTTTTTAATGGGTTGCAAACAGACCCTTAACCTACAACAGTTTCTAAGCAAGTAAAAGCATATATATTAAAAAATACTCGACGCTATAACAGTTTAGATGGAACATATTCTAAAGGGAACACTGGATGTAAAAATAACACAAACATGCGGTAGTAGATGAAAATAGTATAAGAAGTTTAGTATTCCAAATTAATCCAGAAAACAAATACTTCGTACTACGGTACAATTCAAAACTGGATTAAAAACCAAACAAATCTTGTACATCCAATACATTCACTTTTACTTGAAACCAAATAATCCTAAAAGTGTTTTATAACTACGTGCTCTAGAGAATGATATTCAATAGTCAATACATGTAAAAACTGGCTTCCTTGTCAAAATTTCCATCACCCATTCGCATACAATCAACAGAAAATCCACAATCAGTGGTGAAAACAGGGAGGGGCTGGCGGTGGCCACGGCCCCTGCAAGAAAAAAAATCGTATGTATATATTATGTATAAATACTTTTAATCTGTAGAAAGTATGTTGCTATTTTAAACTTTGGCCCCTGCAATGTAAAATTGTTAAGGACCGGCCCCTTTAACCCTAAATGTTTGGCTCCGCCACTGTCCACAATGTCATAGATTCTGGAATAAGGAATAAAGAAACCGAGTTTCCTTAATACATACTCCCTCCGTCCCGAAAACAACTTCCCACTTTCCTTAAATGGATGTCCCAAAATTAACTTCACACTTCAATACTTTCCTTATTTGGCAAATTATCTACATCAAAAAAGTGATAAACAGTGCCAAACAGTGTTTAAACAGTGCAAAACAGTGCATTCTACAGTAAAGTCAAATTTATTTCCTAAAAGTGTGTGAAAGTCCAACCGGGAAGTTATTTTCGGGACGGAGGGAGTATATATTCTAGACTCATAATCATAAAAACGTATTACCAAACTCATGAACGTAGCTCACCTCAAATAATCATGTAAATCGTTTTTTTAAGCACTTCATTCCAGTTTCCCATTTTTTTGTTCGCATAGTACAACCAAGACCTATTTAAAGGTATATATATCATTACCCAATTGAACAAAATTCACTATATATTCACAAAATCAAAAGTGAGGCTGCTAAATGCAAATTTTTCATCAGATTACACTTTGAGATTATTTTTATATTAAGATTATATAAGAACTCAAGTGGCTCAGCTGCTGGATGAACATTACTAAAAAGGAAAAATTGATAGTAATAATCCCAACTATTGGCGGTCCGCTCATAATAATCCCAACTATTGATTATTACAGAATAATCCCAACTTTAGGGACCTTCCGCCAATAATGGTCCCTATGAATAAATTCTTGTAGTTTCTAAAGTGGATGAGATGAAATATAACAAGTAATCCCTATAAATAATCTCAACTTTTAATTTTTACGCTTAATTTCTATTTAAAATTCACTTTTTATAGAGGTAATATATGGTCATGGACCATTATTGGCGGATAGTCTATATAGTTGGGATTATACAAAAATAATCAATAGTTGGGATTATTTTCAGCGGACCAGCAATAGTTGGGATTATTGTTTTCAATTTTAGCTACTAAAAATGAACAAAAAAGTATTCTGAAGGACCGATGTGAATATTGAAGCATAGAATGTTGAAAATGAATTTTCGTACTTAATTGGATATGAAGTCATAAGAATTGGAGGCTAAGAATACTAATTTATGTAATAAAAAAAAATATGCCATGAATACTATTTTATTGCCATGAATACTAATTATGAAATCAATAATTTGTTGCCATGAATACTAATTACGAAAGAAAACCTTATTTGAAATTATTACATACTCCGTATTATTGATTGATATTAAGATTACTTACGAAAATGTGACTATAGTAGTAATAAAATCACAGTAATTTATGTTCAATTTTCAAACTTAAATTACTATGATACTACATGATAATAACTATTAGTTTTATTTATGTAAATGGGTTTCATTTTGATAATATTTGAGTAAAAACCCCTGTTTTTTTCGTATTTTACATTTCCTATAGCCATTTTTAGTCTTGAACAATAATTTTCCTTGTAATATTTACTTTTATATTTTATTTTTCTTATACAATTATGTATCTAAAATAAAATTCCAGCCTCCTGAGTTGAAATCCCGAATGAACCGTTACTCGTAATCATTTCAATCCCATTATTTTTCATATGTTTTATTTTAGTAATACTTTATAAAAAAGCTCGATTTCAAATATTCACAAGTTCAACAAATTATTCAAGTGCCATTCAAAAAAACATTTGTATGCCCTCCGTCTCGGGGAGAAGTTCTCGGGTTGACTTTCACACATTTTTAGGAAGTAAAGTTACTGAGGGGTAAATTTTACTGTTTTGCACTGTTTCGACACTGTTTTGCACTGTTTAGACATTGTTTGGCACTGTTTTGCACTGTTTTAATGTAGGATAACTTTCCATATAGGGAAATGAGAAGTTTCTTTTGGGACATCCAAATAGGGAAATTGGGAACTTCTCCCTGGACAGAGGGAGTATTTGACTATTCGCATGTTAAGCAATTGTTTCCGATGAAAATCATTTTATTCTTTGATTATTATTGTCCATTATTCCTTTAATACTTATAACAAAAACATAAGAACCCAACCAAAAAAACAACAAGCGGACAAGGCACTTACAAATCATACAGAAGTCGGCACAGTTCAGTCCTAATTTCGCCGATCTTGAGGATCTGCCTTTTCAGCACTCCCCTGGTTTCTTCGTAGATCAAACCGCTGATTCTCTTCACCCCGCCTCTACGAGCTAGGCGCCCAATCAGAACCTTCCGGTGCCGCTTGGCCCCTCCCTTTCCTCTTCCGGACATCTTTGCTGTTCTTTTTCTGGGCGGTGAGGATTTCCTTCACTCAGGTTTGTATGTTCTTTTCGATCTCTCCCCGATCATGGATATAATTTCAGTTAATTTGGCTTTGCAAATGAGAGATTCACGCAGTGGAAGGGAGAGCTATTTTTTCTTTGGTTTGTACGACTAATCATGAACTCAATTTCTGAAACAAATGTAGTCATTTCTGTATCATTGTTTGCATAAATGAGTTATAATTTCGTCTTTCATACTGTTTCGTATAATAGATTGTAGGATTGAATAACATTTACCGTCCTGGGACGCATAATTCTAGGTAGAAGTAAATTGATGTTTTGAAACAGCATTTAATCATGTATTTGTTTGCAACGTGCTTTGAGCACTTGCAGAATCCTTAAATCCTTTTATTATTATTTGCATACAGTCATAAACCATATAGAACTTTGAATGCCGTTTATAAAATTTGATCATTGTATACATTGATAATCATGGAAATTCTATTCTTTCTATCATTCGTAGTCAGTTGGAAAACATGGTTTTTTTGTTTGCTTCTGCATGTTGAATTAATTCTTTTGATGGAATCAGAACCAGATAGATATGTTTTCATTGTTGTACGGACTTTGGGAGTATGCCTTCAGTAAGACAGAGTTTCATGTCCTTATCCTGGGGATTGACAAAGCTGGAAAAACGGTATCATTCATATGTAGTTTTCTTTTCACATACCCCTTCAGGCCTTCATTAATTTTCTCTTTTAGTTGAGACCATTCTGCTTTTTTGTTTAAATTTATTGGTTATGGTTTATGAACTCCCACCATCTCAATCCCCTAACCTTTTATTTGCATATGGTAAAAGAAGCTCATTATTTCACATTTCATACTTCACAGTTCTACATTGACTGCTATTCAGCTGCTACGGTTTGTTAAAAAAAGTCCATTTTTGACAACCTTTGATGCCAAAAGTTGCCGTTTTTATTTTGTCTCTGTCTGAATGTTTGTTCAAATTTGCAAGTGTAGTTTGCTTGGACATTATAGTAAAAGCATAATAATAGAAATAGCATTTCAGTAAAGGCTTGCGGGAACATTCACCTATATTCACCCTTGATAAATTTGAGTTTTAGAATTTAGTCACGCCCCAAGAAGGTCATACTCACTCAGGCCTCAAGGTAGCATTGTAGTTTCCCATTTTCTTTGCCACTCTTATTAATAATACTCCTGAGATTGTGCGTTTCAGATTTATTTAGAAATGAAAGAGAAATTATCAACCTCCCATTTTTTCCTTGAAGTGAAATGAAAAGAAAATATAAGATGGATGAAAAGGAAAGTAGGAAGCTAATATGGGAAAGAGGGACTAACGCCCCCTTCCCTCTCAAAAAAACTGTGTTCAATCCCTCCTATTGTTTTGATTTCTGTTTAAGTTATAAACACTAAGTATGGCCCAACTTTTTTTTCTTGGTGGTTTCATAAATAATATGTGTGATTTTGTGAGGTAAAATATTTTGATTACAGCTAACATATGTTTTTCTTTTAGACATTATTAGAAAAGTTGAAGTCACAATTCTTGAACATAGAAGCCCTTCCACCTGATCGCATTGTTCCAACTGTTGGACTGAATATCGGGCGTGTTGAAGTTTCAAATTCAAAACTTGTATTTTGGGATCTCGGAGGGCAGGTACGTGAAAAAACATTAATGGGTTAACTGTGATTGGGATCTTGATCATATAGTTTTGAATTACGAACTTTCATGAACCAGTCTCTTGTAGTTGTGATGAATATTGTACATGGTCCGTATTCCATTAAAGGTGGTCCTAAACAGACAGCCATAGTTTATATGGATTTTTATGATTTATTTGTTGCTTCAGCCTGGTCTTCGCTCAATCTGGGAGAAGTATTACGAGGAGGCACATGCTGTTCTGTTTGTGGTTGATGCTGCTTGCCCGTCACGTTTTGAAGATGCTAAATCTGCACTTGGTAAGTCTTCATACATTAACAATGCATTTCTAGTCTCTGCATATAGCCTGATTAATGAAGACATGTTGTTGAAGCCTTGAAGGCACTCATGGTTTGTAAATAATTGGCAGAAAAGGTTCTCCGGCATGAGGAGCTCCAAGGAGCCCCGCTTTTGATTGTGGCAAACAAGCAGGTAATTTCTTTGATTTCCTGGGGCCATGTTTGGAACTTAGAATGTTGCAGGGACATGCAAAAGAAACACTAAAGAAAATGGAGTGTTGGTTTTGGCTTGAAAAATACAATGACAAAAGCCATTTTTCTTTTATTTCACATTTTCTATATTTCTTGGTTCAGAATGTATAAATAAGTCGAGCTTGAACAAGCTTTTATTTTTCTTAAAATTTATTTCCTTACAAACTTCCTCCTCTGTTTTAATTCGTATTTTGTTTAACTAGCATTTTACGGGTTCCAAACGGACCATCAGAGAAAATGGAACAATTTTGTGTTGCTGAAGTTTTTTTTCATGAGCGGTTTTAGGGAAATGGACAAACTTTGATGGAACTCCTAAGCTTTTTCTTAACAATTGTAATGTTTCTTGAATTTGTTGATACCAGGATCTGGCCGAAGCTGTTTCAGTGGAAGAGCTTGACCGGTATCTCGATCTCAAGAAATTAGATGAGAGAGTCTACAATTATCAAGCCGTTTCAGCATATGAAGGGTGAGGGGGATAACTATTTCTTAGACTTCCAACTGTGATTATTGGCCATAATTTCAATCAAGTACTAACTTCATTAGTTTTGCTTTCAGTTGATAGTCAATAAAAGTGCAAACATTGGTTTTTTTTCGTTTAGTTGATAAAAGAGCCAAAAAATGGTTTGTTTGTTTGTCTGTTTACTGAAATGAATGAAATGCAAGTAAATGACACCTTAACTGTCATTTATGACATTAATTTATTGATAAATAATTTGTAAAATAAGTCATCAGGAAACATTGCAACATGACCCAAAAGTTACCCTAATCAAATTTGTGCTCCAAAGTGGTTGTGACTAAAACTAACTTGACTTTTGGTTACAGGACTGGAATCAAGGAGAGTGTGAACTGGCTTGTGAATGCTATGGAGAGAAGTAAGCGAACAGAAAGGCTGAAGCAGCGTGCTGAGTCCACCAGTTTTTGATATATGCTCAAGGCCATAATAATAATAGTTAATATTAGCATTTCATACTCTGGAATCTGTATAATCTTTGTGTAAGTAATCCATTGCTTACTTTATTGGTAGCTTGTAAAATTTAAACCAATACACACTTGAATGACAGTAAAACAATGTTTTTTGGTCACTGCAAGGTGAGATTCCAGTCTGCTGTCATTTAAAATCCTATTAACAGAGCAGCAAATGATAAGTTTCTCGAAAATCGGTTTTGTAAGCTTCTGGCTTGAACCAAGGCTAGAAGTCAACCTCTTGGCTTTTCGTTTTTCGGTTTCAGGACCAATTTTGTCAATAAGCTGCAAAAGAAGACAAATGCAGAAAGACTTGGCTGTTGAATGAGGTGATCAAAGCCTTGTAACATTACAGGAATGTAGAAAGTTTAATGTGAAAAAAATAAGATGTATTTTCCCATTATCATGAAACAAATTTTGAAAGTTTGAACTGTGACTCTGTGAGAACCAAAGTCAAACGGGAGAAAGCTGACCTTGTCATAATTAGTGATGGCAACGGGGCGGATCGGGGACGGGTACACATAAAACCGGAACCGCCCCGTTGGATAAATGTATGCCCCAAAACCGCCCCATTACCCGTTCGGGTAATTTTTATTTGAATCGTACCCGCCCCAACGGGGAATCGGTTTATCCAAGGGTAACCGTTTCCCCAAATGACACCAAATAACCAACTTTTTTTTGGGAAAACAAATAACCAATTTTTAATCCTACTTGTTATTTATATATTCAAAGCACCCTAAAGCATACAAAAGTAAACATTTAAGCAATCAAGCAGACTGGCCTAAATTCATTAGTATGACATGCACCCAATATCTCTTGTAACATAATAAAAAGTAGTAATCATCCCAGAATCCAAATTTCAAAAACAGGTTTATGCCTATATTTAGTTTTAGGCCTAAAAAGTACTCCGTAGTATACTTTTTAGCATTATTTATATGATATATACTATTTAGTATACACAATTCAGCATATATAGTTATTTTTCTTATATATAAAAAGTTATAATATATTAATAATGTTATGGATCAGGTAACGGTGCGGGTACCCGCACCACTAGTGAACGGGGCGGTTTCGGGGCAGATAACGGGGTGGATTAGTATAGAACCATAACCGCACCATTAACCATTTAAAAAATTCGGGTATTCCCTGCCCCGTACCCATTCCCCAGTCAAACCGGTTTTCCCCAGTTTGACCAAATCGGTTCGGTGCGGGTATCCAACGGGTCGGCCAAAATTGCCATCTCTAGTCATAATGTCATAAAGGGTAGCATTTGAATATACAAAAAATTCACCATCCATGCCGCCATGCGGCCATGTGGGAAACAAGCAACATATATGAACTTAAAAAGGCACCATATATGAACTTGCAAAAGCATGCGGATAATATTCATAATTTTAATGAAAATGAAAATTAAGTATGGAATAAGATAAAGCATAGATAAAGTTAAAAAATAGGATTAAATATGTTTTATTTCTCAAATAAGACTTATTTTATTCTACTATAATAATAAGCTGATGAAAACTTCTCAAAATAGTAGCAAATGTGTCCTATTTTGGGAATAAGTCGTATGCAAAAGCTCGACCCTAAGCTTCCTGAGGTAATTAACTAATAAATCGTATATTTTGAGGTAATTAATTACCTGAATTGACCTCCATCTCAATCACCATCACATGCAAAAGGTGAACTAAAAGCTTTTGTAATCATTTTCCAAAAATGATTGAATGCCATTGTGGATATTGTTGGTGAGTGACTGAAGCTGCTAGATGATCTGATGGAACCAAATCTTAGAAAAAGCCTAGTTTTGTTATTTATTATTCTCTCCACACATTTAATTTTGTTCAACTTTTGAGGTTTACAGATAAAATTTTATGAAAAACTACGCTTGTACGGTTGTACCTATACGTTCTTATGTTTAGCCAGTATATCACTGTATCAAACATAATTCAAGGCCGTTTGGCAAGACTGTTTTTCGGCTTATCAAGTTTATTAATCAACTTTTTCACCAAACACGTAATTTTTGCTTGCGCGCGCTGAATTGTGTAATAAGCAGAAAAAGTAAGGTTGAATTACTTTTCTGGCAGTATTGGTTGAAGTTACTGTAGATGACTATTTTAGCTATTTTTACATATAATTTTATTTTATTTTATTAATAACATATATTTTAAAAACATTTTTTTTCTTAAATCAGCTAATGCAGCCAATGCAGCCAGAACTTCATAAATTTCAGCAGAATCAGCCAAAACAGCCGATTTTGGTGCTACCAAATGGGCTCTTCGTCTTATAGAAAAATGCAAAAACTGTTTGACACAAATAAATATATGGGCATGTATATCAAGAATTACAACCAGTCACAAATTTTAGTTGCTGTATATATAAATAATAGCCAATTTGAAAGATGCTTTTCTCCAAACGATGGAATTTGAAAGATGTTTTTTTTAATATTACTAAGATGAAATTTATTTATAAAATATGAGTAAAATTACTCTAATATAGTGTCACAGTCACTTAAATGTAAAAATTGAATATAAGTTACTTTGACTAAAATTACTACTACAATCACCTAACTTGAGATCATATTTTCATAAGCAATATTTAAAACACAAATATTACGTATGTAATTATTTCAATTTTAAATACTTGCATAGAATTATCTTAAAAAAATTAAGCAGTCATTTTCTGTATGAATTTGATAAGTGGCAATATTAACTTTCTTCATATAAGTAAGTTATTCTTTATTTGTTTAATAGAATATATTTAAATACGTATGATTTTTCATAATTTTGTAGATTTATGAAATTCAGCCATAACTTATGATTTCTAAAAAAGGACTTTCCCTTTTTAGTTACTTTATCTGCTCTAATAATACTTAAAACAGTTCTAATAACTAAAGTTTATACACGATCAAAAAAATAATAACTAAACTTTATACACCTAAAATTGAAATTACATTAAAATTTTCTAAAACAAATTAAGTTTTGATATATATAACACATTTGATATACAAAATTAGTACTGATATTCAATTTTTGTCTGGTTGATTACATGATACATGAGACTGTCTCAGTCTCAAATCTCAATTCGCAAACCATCTTAAAGATATCTAAATTTGTAATGAAAAGAAAACCAGCTGTACCCCCATAAATTGAAAAGAAAAAGAAAAGGGGTTAAAAGATTTTGATATTATTACCAGATCATGCTGGCAGCTTCAACCTCTCAAAACCAACAATATAATATATTTATACTATCCATCAGAAAAGATCAGAGAAGAAATATGTATGATATGGGAGTATATATATATATAGATCAGATGCCATGGCACTCGCACACATCTGACATATGATATCTTATGCATGATGAGAGTCAATTTATAGAGAAAACTATGTATTGGAATGTTGTAATTTAATAGATGTATTATATTATTTCTGTTTACAGCTATTGACACTGACTTTGTCCCTCAAAATCTTCCTTCATATATATGTGTGTGGTCGTGGGGATGGATATATTTTTTGAGATAAAAAAACAAATTTTATGAAGACAACTGTATATGTATGTATTAGACTTGAAATCTCTGGAACACCTCATACTATACAACAAATATAGAATTGATCTCACCTACAAATAATAGACCTTCTCATGCATGTCATTAATTCTAGCAAAAGCATGACAAAAGTTTAGAGTTCATTACAGATACAAACTAAATAACAAATAGTGACTTGTGTATAATTTAAAAAGGATAATTGAAAAATGTTAATTTTTACACGAGGTAATTGTATTATAAGTAACATTATTTAGTAACTATGCATGTATAATTTCACACTACAATGACCATGAAATTTGACTTTACACCCTATATTTAAAATAATTAATTAATGCACCCCAATTCACTATAAAATTATTTGACTTTACACCCCACTCCTTCACAATTTTAAGACTATTGGGGTGCATACATTAATGATTTTAAAAATGAGGTACAAAGTCAAATAACACCCAAAATATGGGGTGCAAAGTCAAATAATTCTCCCTTATTGTAATCATCATCATCACGATTAGTTTCAGTATTATTTATGCCATCATTATTATTTTTCAATAATAACGATAATGATAATTATTAGCAGAGGATTATAATATTAATATTGTTATATATTATTAGCAGTATGCTAATATATTCTAATTACCTTCTGCCAGGTTGGTGTAATGGTTGCGACTTGTGATTAGATTTGGGGATCTTTTATGTCTCTGATTAGCTTCGGGCGATTTTCTATTATATTGGAATAGATCGATAGGATCCCAAAATATATTCTTCTGCCTCCCTAAATTACATTTTCGTTTTATCCTAAAAATAATGTTTACATTCCGTTATTGATAATACTAGTATGACAAAAGAATTTGTTACTCTCATAATAAGAACACTGCTTAATACTCATTTTTCCAACATATACAACTACATAGTCTACATTAGTCAACACAAAGTTTTTCCGGTTTAAAAATGGTAGACTTTCATTAGTCTAGAATGTTCAAATTTCCTGTCCATGAAATATAAATGCTGGATCAGTTGATACAAATGTCACATGGCTTTGTCTTCGTGAATTAAATTAGTTCAATTGTGTCCAATAATCCTTAGGAGATAAAGGTTGTCATTTGGCTATTAGGTGGTAGTTATGACTAATTATGTTGTTAACACGTTTCCTATGGTAGTTGTATCCAATCCTTTTCCTATTTTGCAATGAAGTATGGAGCAATTTATTTATTTTTTCTAACTCTTTCAGTGTAATTTTTTTTCAACAATTAGCTTTCTTCATTATTATTTAAATTTATTATCATTATCTTTCAGCCGAGTCTATTCAAATTTATGAATCCGCTTAAAACTCATTTATATTGAGGTCTCAGGTCACTACTATTGGCAGGGGCGGAGCTAGGGGGTGCCCAGGCTAGGCCCTGACCCACCCCAAATTTGAAAAATGTCAATATTTTTA